ATTAAAATAATTATTGTTTGCAATATTACGTTACTATAAAGTATTAATATTTTGTTTTACTACTTTATCTTCTTATTTATTTTTAATGCTAAAGTAATTATTTTCGTTAATATTTTAATTCAAATTTAAAGAATCATCATTTTTCAATTATTTTTGTATTATTTTTTAAGATTTTATATTTGTTTGTGTTATAGGTCTTTTATATTCTATAAATTAATAATTTGTAGGAGAATAGCAAGGAGATAAAAATCTTCTTTTTTAATCATTTTTGCAATTATTATTCGTTATACTAGATTTACTTTTTTAATTTTTAGTAGAAAAATACATATGACTTTTTAAAAAAGATTTAATAATTTAGTTTGTTTTTGTTGATTCATTTTAATTAGAATTATTTGCATATTCTAAATCTTATAAATTTTCTTAAAAATCTATTATTTTATTCTTTTAAATACAATTTAAAGTATTCTAATTTGTTTTCTTTTTTTATACTTATATTTAACTATTTAGATTTGTATCTGTATTGTTTTTTTTTACAAAACAATTTACTAAAAATAAAAGAAAATGATAAAAGTATAATTTTTATATATACCTAATAGCTTTTATTATTAATAGTTTTTTTATTTATAGTATTTTTATGACCCTGCTCTGAATATTACTTCGTTTCATTATAGTTTATATCATTTGTATTACCATTATTTTTATTATTAATAAAATCTGAATTTAATATATTATTAGAGTTTAATTAATGTTTAGAATGTGATAAATATTTTTAATTTTATTCTAAATTATTACTTTTCGAATTTTCAAACTTTTTTTATTAATCATCAATTAAATTTTACTTAAAATATTAAACAGAGTATGGATTTACAAAATAAAAGAATTTAAACAATTATGAATTTAAATCATTATTTCTTTCTTAAGTAATAACTGGAAATTCAACATCTTAAAACTCTTGATGGACATAAGAACAGTCTATTTTTATTTAAATTGGTGGCTTTATTTTTTATTCAAGTATATCATTCCAGTTAACATCTTTAAGCCAATCCTGATTTTTAATTGCCTCGAAAGATTTGATTCTTAGATTTGGTTTTTTATTCAATAAATCATAAAGAAGATTTTATAGGCTTTAAGGCAAATAAGAAGGCAAAACAAGTTCTTAATTTGCAATATTATTTAGAATAGTTTCAGTACAATTTGAATAAAAAGGAGGTAAACCCGTAACTAATTCATGAAGAAAAGCCCCTAAAGTATAAAAGTCGACAGAATAATTATAACCTTTTCTTAGCAAAACTTCAGGTGCCATATATTCAGGAGATCCGCAAAAAGAGTCAGTCATTTCTTCAATTTACATGCCGATTTTTGAAAGACCAAAATCAGTTAAATGCACATGACCATTTATATCTAAAACAATATTTTCAGGCTTCAAATCACGATAAAGAATTTTATTGTTATGCAAATATTCAAAACACATTAATATTTCACAAAAATAAAATTTCGCATCTTTTTCTTTAAATCTATGTTTTTATAAATGAAAAAAGAGTTCTCCACCGCAATAAAAGTCTAAAAGAAAATTTAAGTGATTATTAGATTCAAAGCATGAATGTAATGTTGCTATAAAAGGCGCTTTACTTGCATCTATTAATATTTTGCGTTCTCGAAGAAGTTATTCTAAACGTTTAAATTCGCTTAAATGAGATTTAGGAATCATTTTTAAAGCAAACAATTTGCAAGATTCTTTATGGCGTACTTTTTTTAAAATATATAATTATTAATTAATTAAAAAAAAATATAAACCTAAAAAAACATCTGATGTTCCTCCTTTACCTAAACATTTCAAAAAAATGAAGTCTGTTATTAATATGTCAGTTGTATTTTTTTATTCTTAAAGATTTTAAGAATATACACCTCTTAATACAGTATTAGGTTTTATCTTGCTTATTTTGTTTTGTAATATAGTCAGGTAATAGTTTACTACTTCATTATTGATCGTTGATTCTAAGTATAATAAATTTTAAATATAAGATAATGAAAGAATCTTTTTTGCTTGCTATTTTATTGTTAACATTAATTATTCTATGGTTTAATAATGGGGAATCTAGACTTTTAATTCTTTGTCTTTTAATTATATTGTGTAACTCACTGTTTGAAGGTTTTTAGCAGTTTTTTGTGGTGATAAGCTTTTTACTTTTTAAATCATGTTATTTTAAATTAATTTATATATTATTTTTAATATTTTTTTTTTGTGTGAATTTATATTTTATTTTTAGTTATAAATATATTTTATAAATTGAAATTTTCTTAAATTATTTATATAAAATTAATATTAATGTTTTATATTTAATTAGTATCTAATAATTATTTTATCATTATCATAAAGAAATAAAATTAAATATTAATAATAGTATTCATTATATTAAAAAAAAAAGTTATTTATAATAAATAAATATCAAAAATTAAATAATATAATTTTAGTATATATATATATATATTATTTTAAAAATAATATATATATATATATATTATATAAATTAATAATTAATTAAAAATTGCTCATATATACATATAAACATATAAAAAATATTTTTTATTATTTTATTAAAAATTTAAAGCTATATTAAATAAAAATAGTACATATCATTTACTATTTAAAAAATATATTTTTTCTGCTAATTTTATAGATTTTTAAACAAAAAAAATATAAAATAATGCAATAAAATTATTTTATAGTAACTTATTTTATTTATAAACATGAAACTAGACTTTTTCGTACAACTGTTATAAATTTTTAATAACTTTACAGACATAAAATTTATATAAGTTTTTATTTTTATTAATTAATCCTAAAAGATAATCTTCATGTACTTCACTATAAAACTATAATTTATTTGTAGGAAGTTAATTTTAAATCTATCTAAGAAATTAAATAAAGTTAATAATACTTTTATCAACAAAAACAATTTATTGATTAAAATCTAAGCAATTAAAATCCTTTATTTTTCCTTAAAGACATTTAGAATTATGCTAATAAACTGTTTCATTATAAAAAAATTCACAAAAATTACAAAAGTTTATTTTATTTTTATTTTTTTAAGAAGATTATTAATCAAATATATATTCCCTTTATTCCTTATTATTTTTTTTATTTTTTTGCAGCAGAATTTATTCAGAGTTTAATTTATTAAAATAAGCAAATTATTTACTTTCCTCATTTTTTTATATTTTTTAAATCTCTGGTATAAATATTTATTCATCCATATCTATAGATTGTATATTTTCGTTTTCTTTTTACAAAAAACAATCTTTTGTTATTTTTACTGATTTTTTTTCGTTTGAAAATATTCTCTTATCTTTCATTTTGTTAATATTGTTATTAAAATATATTTTTTTTTGTTCTTTTTTTATTTTTATTTCTTCATTACTTTTATTATTTTTTTCATTATTTTGTTCATTATTTATATTTGCTTATTTATTTTTTGGCTTATAATTATTTTTCCAATCATAAATTATTCTTTCATCTAATTTTTCGTTTTAAATTATTTTTTAATAATAATTTTCTTCTTTTTCATGCCTTCTTAAAGGAAGGTTTAAAAAATTTTCATCTTAAATAATATGAATTAAAAAACTGTTATTTTCTGGTGCTTTTCTTAGATATTTTTAAGTTTATTCTCTTTTTGGACTTTTTTCGATAACTTTGTTTTTATTTATTTAATTTATGTAAATAGAGTTAGTTTTTATACAACTAAAACTATTTTAGTGATTACTCATGTTATTCTAACTTTTATCTATATTTGAATAACCATCATAAATCGATAAATTACCAAAAGTACTTGTATTATTATTTTAATTTATTATTATATTTTTAAAAGAAAATGTGTCTTCGTTTTATTATTAAGCGTAATTCATGTACTAATTATTTTGTTTGTATTTTTTTTATATATTCTTTTTTTTAAAATAAATAATTGTATAATTTTATTAATTATTATAATTTTTTTCGTTAAATAAAAAATTATTTTTATAATTAAAAATTGTAAAATTTAATAATATGCATTTTTTTATAAATATATAAACTAAAAAGTATTATCTCATAAAAACTACATGAATTTAAAATTATTTTAGAATATTAAATTAACACTACAGTGGAAAATATTTATTAGCATTAATATATAGTATTTAAAATAAAAAGAAAATATATAACATTAAAAAATAATAATATATATTTTAAATTTAATAAACTAAAACATATGATTTTTATTTACTTAAACTTATTTTTTTAATTTTTTGTATATTTATTTAAAAAAATATTTTAATTTTATAATAATAAAACAAATTCTATTTATAAGAAAAAATTCTTGCGAATAATTTCTTATTATTCTATGTATAATTTAAACTAACATATAGAATAATTTTGATTTATTTTAACTTTAAAATTCAAATGAATCAATTTTTATAGAAAAAAAAATAATTAAACAGTTAAAAAGAAAAATAACATGTTAACATTATAATTTAAAAGATTTTATATTTCTATTTATTTTAAATTGAAAATTAATAATTATATTTTATAAATATATTAAATTATTATCATAGTTAAATATGTGTATTAATGATATATCTATTAAAAAAAGTTTTAATAATTTTCTTAAAATAAAATATAATAAATTATTATAAAGAAATATAAATGTAAATCATCAATTAAGCAGTACAATTTTTTTTTTTTAAGTTATATATTATTTAATATGATTATATTACTTTTTAGTGTGGTTTTTTAAGTTTTTCTGTATTTTTTAAAAAAAAAACTCAACCAAAAAGATAAGGCCATTTTTATAAAAAAAAATTATTTTATTAAATTGTTTTAAAATTACATAAAACTAGTTTTATTTTTTTATTAAATATATATACTTCAAAAAAATAAATATTTAAAATCTTAAATGCACTCAAAATATTAAATATATAATTTTTTCTAAAATAACATAAATAATTATTTAATAAAATTCCATAAAAATTCAATCACCCCCATCATTAGATAATCCCTCGTCAATTTCTTGAATTTCAATGCCTTCATTAACATTTTTAGCCCATTAGAAATATAAATTCTAAACAATATTAACATTCATAACAACGTATTCAATAATATTTCTCATTTCTTCAATTCTTTTGATTTCATTTTCATCCCAAACAATTAATTCTGGAATTTCTTATCTTTTATTATATTAATCAAATACCATTTGATTTAAAAAAAGTCCATGTGCAGGAGCTAACCAAACCTTAGTAAACTCTTTTTCGAAACTCTTGTCGATGAAATCGAGTTCAAGTTATTTTTAAAATACCATACAAATCATGCCTATCATTTTTCTAATTTAATGATAAATAAAACTTTATCCAAAAAATGTAAATCTAACAAATTTTTCTTAATTTTTTTCAAAAATTTGACCTTTCATATTAATAATATATCTTTTGCATTTAGAATCACCTGCTTTAAGTTATTTTGTATAATTATGGTAGCTTTTTGTCCCTATAAACTTTTTTAAAATCTGATTTATTTTTTCCTAGATTTACTATTCAATTTACAAAAAAACTTTCTTATTTTCTTTTATATCTTCAAATTTTTATAACATAAATAAAGGTAATATATATTCATATATTCGATGTGAACAAGCAGTTCTTATGTCGAATTTTTTTGTAACTTATTTTAATGATATTATACGAATGTCCTAAGGCAAATTTGAATTTAATGTTTATATTATTTTATCGTAATTTATTTGATTTTTTCTTTCAATTGCATTCTTTTATTGTTATTTTGTATTTATTGCATTTTCTAGCACATGTTCTTTTTCTATATCAGGATCTCTTAAAAATTCTTTTGTTACCGCTAATTTTACATTTATTCCGTTTATTAAGGCATGTACTCCTTTATCTGTTCTTGCACCTCGACTCCAGCCTGCCTTTTTTAAATCATTCATGTTAATAGAGTCTATTAAATTAGAATCTATTAATGACTTAAATAAATATTTTTCTACAGTTTCAATCTCATCATTTTATTATTTTTATAATCCTTTGTAGTTTTCACCATTATATCCAAAAAATAATGCTATCTTAGCTTTGAAGTAGTTTCTTTTATTTTAGTTCATTTTTTATTTTTTTCTTAATTTTAAATTTAGCTTTTTATTTTATGAAAGAAGAAAACTTAATTTTGTTTCTTTGTTTTAAGATTTTAATTTAAAAGTTTATTGATAATATATTAGATATAATATTATAAAATAAATAAAAATTAAACAAAATTATTTAATTAAATTTATAAAAATCAAAAATAAATGATTTCTTTAATTTTATTTTAATCATGAAGGAGTTTCTTTAATTCTTTATATTTACTTTCACTTATATTATTTTTAGAAATATTAATTCTTTATAATTATTTTAAATATTTAATAATAGTTTTCATGCTATCTAAAGAACTTTCATCCATTGTGTTTTCAGCAACATCCAATTCTTCTAATTTTTAATATTTAGCAATTTAAATACATAAATTTAAAAACAAATTATTATCCATACCAACATTTCTTAATCCTAATATTTTAAGACTTTTTTAATTTTAAAGTATTTTAAAAATAAGTTAAAAAGATCTTTATCCTACTTAATTATAACTGAGATTAATACATTTTATTTAATTGCATTCTAATTATAATAAACTTAATAATAACAAAATAAATGCTTCTTTTAATTAAGTCTTCACCAATTCTAATATCTTATTATAAAAAAAATATATATATAAAAAAGTATATATCAAATAAAAATCACTTGCAACTAACGAAAATTTGGAAAATTAAAGCAAATATTCATTATAAAATCAGATTATAAATTTTAATTCCAAATAATAATTTATTATTCTTAATAAATAAAAACTTCATGACAAGGAACTTCTTAATAGTTTTATAAAAATTATACATAATCATCATCATTTTAATTAATTTTTTTCTTCTGTCCTTCCAAAATTAGAAATTTTGTATTTTTTTAAATAGCTATTAAAATATTTTTAGTTTCCTTCTAAAAATTCTAAAAAAGTTTTATCTTTTTATATCTTAGTAATTTCATTTTCATAATCGTATAATTTCCAAATGTTCTAGACATCAAAATATTTAAATTTAATTTAATAAATATATATAACTCTTTATTATTAATTATATTCTGAAATATTTCCAACAAATTATTTTTCGAAAGAATATATATTATTTTCGTTTAGATATAAGCTTTTTTATCTAGCTTAAATTAATTATTATTATTATTATTATTATTATTATTATTATTATTATTATTATTAATTATTCATTCATTTATTCTTTACTTAATTATTTTTATTCAATACCATTATTTTATTTTTATTTATTCATCTGAAATAAAGATTTATTTGGTGAACTTATTATTGATGTCTAATGTAATTTTTTAGAATTCTGATTATTAGTTTTAAATTAAATTAATGATTTATTATATATATTTCTGCTTTTTAACTTAGCTTTTTTTTTTTCATTTAAATTATTTATTTTTTATTTATATGCTGTATTTTCAGTTTAAAATATATTAATAGTTTAATTTTAGTTTTCCATATAAAGATCAATTTTCTCTTTCAAACTTTTTTTTATATTTTTTTTTATGAAGTTAGTAACTATTTATAAAATATATATTTAATTTTAGATACATATATATTTTGTAATTACTTTAAATATCTTCATTTGGAAATTCATTTTTAATTCTAAATATTTCTTTGAAATTTTTTTCTAGTATTTTATTAGAATCTTCTCCATAATTTTTTTTAAATATCTCTTAAACCATTTATTTTGCTACTAGTTTCCTTCTTTTTTCATCATCATCAAATTTTAAAGCCTTTTATTAAATAATAAAAATATTAAGTTTTATTATTTTACATCTATATGATTTAAATACTTTGGTTTTTTCTAAATATGTTCTTTTTCATCTTCATCTTAGCTATTATCTAGATTTTTCTTTCTTTATTTTATAAAAAAATAAATTAAATAACCAAAATATTAAAAATACTTTTTATATTTTAATATGTTATGATATTAAGGCATTTTATTATCATAATCTAAAAATATATTTAAACTTCCCACATTTAATTTGAGATTTTTTATAACATATTCATTCTATAATGTTTTTACTGAAGTAAAAATTTATTCGTTATTTGCTTATTGTTTAATAAAAGTAATTTAATCTATTATCGGAAGTTAATATCTAAAAGTTTTTTATTAAATGCCTTAGCTTTTCTAAAATTAATTTATATTTAATAATGGAAGATTTTAAGAAACTAATTATTTATTGCTCATTATTATATTATTAAATATATAAATAAAATATATTTAACAAAAATATAAATAATTTTTATTTATATAGATTTCGAAATTTTATAAAAATAATTAATAAAATTTAAGTTAAAAAAATTCAAATTTTTATTATTTATTTTATATAATTGTTTTTATTTTACTTCTTAAGGTAAAATAATTTTATTTAATATTTAGGTTATTAATTTTTAATATATGAACTAAATAAAAAAAGTAGAAACAAATATTAAAATACATAAAGATTTTTAAATATATTATTATATAATTTTTATTATATCTTAAAATTTATTACTATTACTTTTTTATATTAATAAAAGAATATGAAAACTAAATAATTTTTTTGTTCTAACTAATATAAAAATAAATAATAGGAATTAAATGAAATCAATTAATATTTGCACTATTTAAAACAATCAGTAAATTATTGAGTTACACAAGTTTTATAGATATTTTAATAAAGTTTAAAATTAGTATATAAATGTTCATTAATTCTTTAAATATAATTGTTTGATAAATTTTAATTAATAACTTAATTTAATAATTTAATAAAATTTTAAAATTATCAATAAATAAATATTTTATTTTTAACTTATTAATTTAAATCACTTTTAATTAAATAATTTAATTTTATTAATTCATTTATTTTTATTGAATTAAATAAAATAATTCTTTCTTAAACATTTTTTTATTAAATTCTATTAATAAGACTTTACAATTTTTAAGAAAAAAAATGGGATTTTTATTGAAAAAATTTATTTCTTTTTTAATTAATTAAATTAATTTTTGTCTATTTTATTCACAAAATTGTGCTTGTTTATTTATAATTACAAGACTAAAAATCTTGAATTTTTAAAATTCCATTTTTATAAAAAAAAATATTTTAATGATTATATCTCTCAATATAATGTTATTTTAATTTAAATAATTTATACATTTTATGTATATTATAGTTCTTATAATATTAAAATAAAATTTAGTAATCCTTATATTTAACTTTTCTTTCATCTTTTTTCAAGTTTAGTATTAAAATCCTTAAGCAAATTCTCGTGTTAAATAAATATTATCATGATAATTATTTTAGATTACTTCATTTAACTTTATGCAATTAAGATTATAAACTATGTACATAATATAAATTTTTATCTTTAAATATTGTATGAATTTAGTCAAAATAGCATTTCATCTTCATCTTCATATTTATGAAAATTTATTTATTCTTTTACTTAAAAAAAACTTAGACATTATTGAGTATTTCTGTTTTTTATTTTAGTATATTTTACTTGAATTAACTATGTATTTTTGAATATTATTTGCTTATATATATATATTATTAAGATTTATTTATTTTTTGTATTAAACATAAAATTTTAGAAAAAAAAATATATTATCAAAAAGTAAATAATTAAATATATTTTAAAAATAAAATATTTTATTTTGAATTATTTATTTTATTATTAATATAAAAATATAAAATAAATTTTTTATATTTTATAAATTTTAAAGTCATTATCTAATTTCATGGTTCAACAATAATCATTTAATACAAATAAATAAATAAGCATTATATGAAAACTTTTATTAAATATAATTAATTATTATATATTCGTTTTTAAATCATAAAAATTTATCTTTAAATTGAAATTTTTAAAAGATTTTTTTTATAAAAAAATTATTAGTATTTTATTCATCAAAAAATACATGTTTTTTAAATTTAATGTATAAAATATAAAATAAATTAAATTAAACCTATAGAAAATATAAAAATATAAAATAAATAGAATAAACAAAGTACCAAAATATCTAAAAAGTCAAAACTAATAAAAAATTAAAAAATATAAAAAAATAAAATAAACTAAAATAAATTAAAAATGAATACATTTGAAAAAGCACCTATAGTTATATTTGATTATGAAGATCTTAAAAACAGAGAATCAATTTTATACGAAAAAATTGATAAAGCTTTTGGACCTCATGGGATTGGTCTTTGCCTTGTATCAAACGTACCAGACTACGAAAAATATCGTACTGCCTTACTTCCATAAGCTAATATACTTGCAAATTTACCAAAAGAAGAGTTAGATAAATTAACGAAACCTGAAATGTATTATTTTTCTGGTTGGAGTCATGGAAAAGAGCAATTTAAGGGAAGAATAGATTATACTAAAGGAAGTTACTATGCATTCGTGCGCGAAGATGAACCTATAAAGGAGCTTTTAGAAGATACAAAAAAATAAGGAGGAGTAATAGTACGAAATGTATGGCCTTAAAATAATATAATAGAAAACTTTGAAAAAAACTTTAAAAATTTGGGTAATTTAATGTGTGATGTTGGAAGTTTGTTAGGTTATCATTTAGATAAATACATTAAACATAAGTAACCAAATTACATAGATGGTACAATAGAAAAAATTATAAAGGAAGGGAATCAACATGTTGGTCGTTTGTTACATTATTTTTCTTGTAAAGAAAAGAAAACGATTCAAGATGATTGGTGTGGCTGGCATAATGATTTTTCTGTTGTAACTGGATTAGCATCGGCTATGTATTTTGATGAAAAAGGTAATTTATTACCTAATTATGATGTCGAAAATGACGGTGGTTTATTTGTTAAAAATAGATTTTCTGAATAATAAAAAGCTTTTATACCTAATAATTGCTTGGGTTTTTAAATTGGAGAAGTTGTTTAAATATTATCAGGAGGTATTTTAGAAGCAACACCTCATTGTGTTGTTAGAGGAGAGAATTCTGTTTAAGATGGAGCTTGCAGAAATAATTATGTATGCTTTATTAGTCCGAATTAAGAGTTTTAGATGAAAGTACCAGATGAATCTTTAATTGATAAAGTAGCAAATATGGAAGGTTATTATGTTAGTAAACTAAAAGACAGATGGAAAAACAATATGCCTTATGGAATATTTAGTAGCAATTCATCAAAATCAATTAGATATTGATTTTTTTATTTGATTTATCAAACAAATTTAATTATATATAATAATTTATTTTAGTATTTTTTTATAAATGAATCTATCTTATTAATCAAAAATATATTTATATATTAAGTGTTTAAAAATAATTATAAAAAAATACTTGAATATTTGTTTAGTAAATAAAAAATAAAAATTGTTAGAGGAATATTAACATTAATTTAAATAAACTAAAAATCAAACAAATCATTTATTTTTTATATATTTTAAATTATATTGTTAATAAATATATATATATATATATTTATATATAAATATTTATATATAATTTTTTTAATATCTGAATTAACATAAAATTAATTATCATTTATTTTACCGAAAAATAAAGTAGTTTACTAATTATTAATGTTAATTATATTTTATACTATTTTAGATAATAATAATTGAAGTTTTTATTGCATATTTTATTTATAAAATATATTATATAAAAAAATTATAAATATTAAATTTAAACAAAAATAATTTTTTATATTTACAAAAAATAAAATAAATTTAAAATATTAATATTAATAATTAATTAAATAATTTGATTAATTATTAAAATAAAAAAAAAACTATAATATTAATTATTTTATATATAAAATATAATATAAAATATATATATTTTTATATATATATAAATATATATATATATATATATATATATATATATATATATATAAATTGCATTTTATCTTCTTCTATTTAGAAATAAATTATGATTAATTCAAAATACGATTAATAGTTTAAAATTACATGAAAGAAATAATTAATATAAACAGTAAGATAAAACTTAAATCTACGTGCTTTCAAAATATTAAAAATTATCTGAAACAAATGAATTATTTTTATAAAAAATCTTTTTTATATATTTGTTTTATAAATAATTTATATAAATTTAATTTGTTTTATATTTTAATAACTTTCATTACTTAAATATTAAATTAATATTTTTCTGAATTTTGTAAATAAATTTTATTGTTATAGATGGACTAAAATTGCTTCAGTATCTTATATGAAAATTCTAATAATTTCGTATAAATGTTAAGTTATGGAAGTAATATTACTAAAATGCTGCAATTATCATACTAAAAAAAGTAAAAAAATAATTTTTAATCCTATTTATAGATATTCCAAATTGTGCAAGTACATCTCCAGATTATAATTGAATAAAGTTTAGTTGTTAAAATTATAATTAACTTTATATAAATAATTCTAATAAAAACTTAAAAATTATATAATTTGAGGTTGAAAATTTATTTAATTTGAGAATAGTAAAAATAGATAATATTGAAGTGATAGATATTCATAATTCATTTTCAAATAGAATAAAAAATGTAATTTATAATAAATGATATTAAAAAGTATATAGAATATTCACATGAACTTATAGATAGTAATAATGAAGAATATTTTTTTTTTGCATGATATTACATAAAAATATTAGGAAAATTAAAATTTTTTATATTTAAAAAAATTAAATGTTATTATTTATATATTGATATTATTTATTAATTTTTATTTATTAATATTTAATTATAATATAATAAATATTTTAATTTTTTATTTATTATATCAATCATATATCTTTGTTTTTTTATTTATTTTTCGTTTTTATTTTAACTTTTCGACAAAAATAATTAAATCTAATATTTATTTTTATATATATTAAAATTTCCACATTTATTTCCTATTTTATAAAATTTTATTTTACATAACATTAATTAAATTCTATTTTGGTGCATATTTTATCTATTTTTATTATATTCCATTCTTATTATATTTTAAATTTAATTGTTTTATAATATAGAAATATTTTTCTTGAAGATCTAATAAGATAATTATATGTTTATTCTTTGAAAATAAATCTTAAAAATATGATTTAATAAAAAATAATTTAAATTAATTTATAATAAAATAAATTAATAGAATTTTCTAATAAAAAAATTATTTGTAATTTAATATAATTAAATATATTTTAATTTTTTTAAAGAAATTATTCCTTTATTAGATTTTATCATTTTTTCAAGTTTTTTTGTTTATATTTGATGAATTTTTAATTAAAAATAATTGATTAATAAGATAGATTCATTTATAAAAAAATACTAAAATAAATTATTATATATAATTAAATTTGTTTGATAAATCAAATAAAAAAATCAATATCTAATTGATTTTGATGAATTGCTACTAAATATTCCATAAGGCATATTGTTTTTCCATCTGTCTTTTAGTTTACTAACATAATAACCTTCCATATTTGCTACTTTATCAATTAAAGATTCATCTGGTACTTTCATCTAAAACTCTTAATTCGGACTAATAAAGCATACATAATTATTTCTGCAAGCTCCATCTTAAACAGAATTCTCTCCTCTAACAACACAATGAGGTGTTGCTTCTAAAATACCTCCTGATAATATTTAAACAACTTCTCCAATTTAAAAACCCAAGCAATTATTAGGTATAAAAGCTTTTTATTATTCAGAAAATCTATTTTTAACAAATAAACCACCGTCATTTTCGACATCATAATTAGGTAATAAATTACCTTTTTCATCAAAATACATAGCCGATGCTAATCCAGTTACAACAGAAAAATCATTATGCCAGCCACACCAATCATCTTGAATCGTTTTCTTTTCTTTACAGAAAAATAATGTAACAAACGAC